GACAGACTGTATTAAAACCAAGAACTTCTATTCATTGAAAGATACCATTAAATGAATTAAATGGCAACATTCAGGCTGAGAAAAGATATTTGAAGTACACATGTTCAGCCAAAAATTAGTATGCAGAATATGTGAAGAATTCCTCTGAATAAATAAGAAAAGGACAGTCAACCTAGTAGAAAAATAGCAAAACCGTCAACAGATATTTCACAAAAGAGGACATCCAGATGACCAATAAATATACGAAAAGTCCTCAACTTGATATGTTTTCTTTTTCTAGCTTTATTTGGAAGCTTACATAATTATGAATTTTTCTTCTTTTCTTGTATATGTACTATATATAACAGATATTTATCTAAGCATTGTTTTTGCTGCACCTTACAAATTTTGAAATGTGTTTTTATTTTTTATTAAGTTCAAAATATTTTCTAATTATTCTTGGATTCTTCTTCAAAAGAAGAAATATTTAGAAGTGTTAAAGAAAAAAAAAAGACTACTTATTAACATATAGTAAGAAAGAATTTATTCAGGACTATCATGATAGATATAGGGACTACTACAATGCAATTCTGCAGCTGGGGAGAAGATTGGATTCAACTCCTAATACAGCATGGGCAAATGGGAATTGTGACCAAGGAGCAGAGTGGGGGCTGGTGAATGAAAAATTACCAAGAGGAAACATCAGGGATAAGGAAGCTTCTGGCGAAACTGACCTCATAGGATTTTTGCTAACGTTAGACGAGGGTGATTACCTTGGGGATGGTGGAGGATGAGGAATCCAATCTCATATCAAGGTGATCAGATATTTGGAGTGGGTGGTTCTTGCTAAACTGACTTAGCAAAATTCTTTGTTAAAACTGAATTTTACAAGGAGGTACATAGATGGGTCTGGGAGAATGTTCAGGAGCCTGGCTAAAGTTTGATCAAACAGAGATTCCAGTTTAAATATTTTCAGGTTTTCAAAAGCACCTTGTTAGCACAGGTTTAGAGTAGTCTTTACCAGAGGCTTATTTATCTCTACTCATTATAATGACCCTTATGAGTTCTCTATTGAATGTCATGGTGTTCAACAAAGATTCTCTCCTCTCTGGCTGGTCACAACTCAAATGTATCCAATCCTGTATGAGCTCTGGGAATACTGTTTATAGCTCCTGTTGTTCTTTGCCTTACCTTATGTTTCATACTATGCATATGCAACAAAATATTTAGCCACAGATTCAAAGGAATTCTTAGGCAGATTTCTGTAGCTCTTTTACATTGTAGCTTCCTCCTGTCTGAATACTGGACTCCACAAATTGCAGCTGTTTTAGACTTCTTTTTTGCTTCAGTTCAGTAATACTCTCATCTTCTTCCTGGGACCCCTGTCTCTGAATCATGGTCTGGAAAATGCCTCCAGGAAGAAATCAGTGCTACCATTAGGGGCCCTCTTTGTTTATTTGCTTTGTGTTAGGAGTCGCAGTTCTGTGTTGCCTGTTGTCCACTGTCTGAATACAGTCATTTCATATCATTTGTCCGATGAGAAATAGATTTTAAATGGGGTTCTTCATACCAGAGTATCAGAAACACCATAATCAGTGAGTAGTAAATCAGAGTCAGTATACAGCTAATGCTCATCCTGCCCTGCGTGCTGGGGCTCTGACTCTGTCAGCCTCTCCCCCAAAACCCATTAAGATGTGATTTGTTGGTGCTTAGTTTGAATCAAGGACAGGATAGTCCCTGATGTCTATAAATGTTTCTAATTAAAGGCCAGGCATGATGGCTCACACCTATAATCTCAGCACTTTGGGAGGCCAAGGTGGAGGATTGCCTGAGGCCAGGAGTTTGAGACCAGCCTGGGTAACATAGCAAGACACTGTCTCTACAAAAATAAAAAATAAAAAATCAGCCAGGCATGGTGGCATGTTCCTATAGTCCCACCTACTCAGGAGGCTGAGGTGTGCTGAAGCCCAGAAGTTCCAGGCTGCAGTGAGCTATGTTCATGCCATTGCATTCCTACCTGGGTGACAGAGCAAGACCTCATCTCTAAAAATATCTCTATATATTTCTTATTAAAAGTAGGGACTGTGTAGGTTCTTTATAAAAGAACAAGCTGTAAGTATAAAATATCTTTCAAGAAGCAGGAAATAACATTTTAATGACATCAGCACTGTGTTCTGCTGGGCTAGTGATCTAAGAGCCAAGAAAAACTAAGTTGAAATAAGTTACATCTGCCTTTTCTTTGTGGAGCCATTCTTGCTTCAGTATGTTCCATGTTCTTAGCTAAACAAATCAGGAACTTAACTCAAACTTAATTGCTGTGCAGTTGAATGTATTTGTGTGCATATGTATGTGTTCCTCCTATCAATCTATAATGGACCTGGGAAGCTGCCAATATATATCAAAGGGTCCCAATTTTTAAAATCCTTATGTATGTGTATTTATGATTATATGAACAAAAATATATACATCAAACTGGAAACATCAGTGTTTTCAAGATGTAAACTGAGGGAAAGCAGAGATATATTTTATTTTATATACATTTTATCATTTGAATTTATTATAATTTATTTTTATCATATTGAGTGTATTAAAATATTAGAACTGATATATTTTTATGGCAGGTCATCTTTCATAATTATGTAATGATCATCTTTATGCTAATATTTTTTTCTTAGTGTATATTTTTTATGTTCCTTTTTAAATATGATTTTCATGCCTTTGATTTGATTAGTTACATTTTTTTAATTTCCTTTTTGACCTCCTTTGATTTGTAAATTTTATATTTGTTTTCCATTCTTCAAATAATTATTCTTGATATTGAACATACATCATTTATTTGACAAGGTCTAAAGTTCATCTGTACCTCTACACTCCTACAACAACGCAAGGACCTTAAAATTCTTTAACATTGATCTCTCCCTTTGTCTTATATCATTTTGTTGTTGAGAATTTTAATCCTACCTTATTTTAACTCTATCTTCATTTAGATATTGTTATGATTGCTTTACATACTAAATATTTATTTAGTTCCATGTACACGTTTGCCAGTGCCTTTCAAATAGTCTATTTTATTTTATACCTTGCTTTTGAAGGGATTTTTCCTCCCTAAAATGTATTCTTTAATAGTTATTTCATCTAGGATCTGCGAATGGTAAACCTTGGCATGTGGAAAGATATTACTTACTTTCCTTCTGGCTTTTCTTGTTGATATAAGTCTGCAGTTTTTCTAAAGTTCTTTATTTGTTAGAGATTTTTTCTTCTCAATCTGGTTGATTTAAAGATTGTCTCTCATCAGTGTCCTATAGTTTCACTATGATGTTTCTAAGTGTGTGTATAGTTTTATTTATTGTGCTTGCAATTTTTGATACTCTTAATCTGTTAATTCATATTTTCATCAGTTCCCAAATCCTCAGCTACTGCATTTTGTTTATTGTCTCCCCACACCCTTCTCTCAGTTCTGTCATTCAGTAATTTCTGCGGGATACTTTTTAGACTTCTCATTCCAACACACCTTATATGCCTCTGCTGTTTTCCTTTCTTTGTCTCCTTGTGTTGTCTTCCATTTTATCAATTTTCATTAGCTTTTTCTGCATGATACTTAACATACCCATCGAGATTATAATTTCAATTATTATGTTATTGTTATTAATTTTTGCTGTTTAGTATTTCTAGAGATATAATTTGGTTCTTTTTCATATCTATCTTATTTATTTATTTATTTAAGATGAGGTCTTATTTTGTCACCCAGGCTGAAGTGCAGTGGCACAATCATAGCTCACTGTAACCTAGAACTCCTGGGCTCAAGTGATCCTTCACCTCAGCCTCCCAAGTAGCTGAGACTCCAGGTGTACGCCACCACTCCCAGTTAATTTTTTTAAAATTTTTTTGTAGAGACAGGGTCTCCATATGTTGCCCAAACTTGTTATCCTTTATTTACTAACCCCCTGTTCTTTTTTTAATAGATGTTTGTCACTGCTTCTTCTTTTTTTTTTTAAAGAAAACATGTTAAAAACTCTAATTGCAGAAATCAGTTTAGTTCTATTATCTCAATTTTCTTGTACATTCTCTTATTTTGGTCACAGTAATAGGTAGACTGTCATTCATGGCTTTGAACTTATTTCTATGTTTATTCTTATGTTCAAGCTTGACTTCTTTGAGAATTATTTTCTGTAGTAGTTTTTCTCTATCCATATTCTCAGTTGTAGAAGCCTCCCTTTAAGGATAATTGTGTCTACGTGCATCCTCCAGTGTACACTGGCCATATACCAGTTTTTATATTACTGTTGATTCTTCATGTTTCTGCAAATGTATATAGCTCAATTTTGAACCTAGCATTATAGTCTTAGGATTCTAATATTATGTGATTGACTCTGTCCTGCCCTCAGACGAGGGAGGGAGGGCTAACTTAATGGAACCCTAACCCAATAAGCTCAGATATTCAAGTTTTCATTCAGCAAAATTTTTCTCCCAGCTTACCATAGTAATGTCAGTTTTGCCTCTCAGCCATGTATGGTCTTGTGTTTAAACGTCTATTCCCCACTCAGTTATCACAGTATGAAGTCCTCCTAGACAGTGTTGTATCCAGGTCAAATACTCACCATAGTAGCTCAATGCCATTTTACTGATAAGAATTCTTTGCCTTTATTTGGCATCTAGAGATTTACTATCCTTGCTTTCAGTGGTATGTATTAACATTTTTATTATTATTATACCTTGCATATTTGTGTTAGAAAGTGGTCAGGCAACTCAATATATCACTTTTTAAATCATATGGTCTGTAATTTGTTTCACATGTTAATGGAGATAAAGTTAACAAATCACTTATTTACAACATCTTATTTTCAAGATCCTCATTAAAATTCAATTTTAACTTTTAGGATTTGTGAATATTAACATATTTTTGCTTTTACTTTACTTTTCTCTATTTTATATGTTTTAAAATATCTTCACTACCTTTATTTGTTTGGTGCATTATTCTTTAACTCACATTTTAATCAATTGTTTTGCTTTAATTTTCATAGGATGAATCTTCAAGAAGAATTGGATGAACTTAAAGTACATATATCTCTTGATAACGCAACAATACAAAAATTGAATAGATGTATGGCAGAGAAAAGAGAAGGTAAATTTTTTGTGCAAATAAATGCTTAACATAGGAATTTTTCAATTACCTAAATCTTGATGTTTTAGTTTCAATTTCTTTTAAGATTTTTATCCATTTTCTCCCTTTTCCCACCCCTTTACTCACTGATAACTCACTAACGTTTTCTCCCTCATGAGAAAATCAGATAAATAGAACACCTAAAAGTTACTTTTATAATTTATTAAAATTCTAAAGATATGTTTGATAAGGAGAAAAGATATTCATTTTTATTATTCATTGCTAATATTTTCCTTGTTATGTTTGTTCATAGTTTTATAGATAATATAGCCTTATATTCAATACCAATAATCTTTTTTTTTTGACAGTACATTTTTTTTGGAAATCATTTAGTTCTCATATGTTTTCCTGGAATTAAAATCTCAGAGTTAGTAGGGCAGTTGGAAATCTTTAAATCTGCAATGTCCCTAACCACTAGCCTCAAAATATTTAGTAGTAGGGAATATCTCACTGCTCCAATTGCAAAAGATTATTCCTTTGTTAAAAGCAGGATAACTATATTTTCTATACAACTGTAGTAGCTCATTAGAAAAAGTAAATAAGGTTCATATGACAGGATTTTTTTCTTATTTAACCTGCTGCAGCCTAATTATTACCACTGTACTTTTAGGTTTTGACAATTTATACTAATAATTAGTTTTCATATACTCCTTATTTGGCTTTTTTCCCAATTACTGTTGTTGTTTCAGTTGTTGATACTTAAGTCACTGGTGACTTGTCAAGGCCAATATTTGAATGCCTCTATTTACACCTTTAATTTTCATCATTTTTTGAGCTTCTTTCTTTATCAGCTCCTGAAACACTTATTTTCTTGTTTCACCTCTTACTCTTGCCTGAATCTTCTCTGTCTCTTCCACTGGAATTCCTTTCCATTTTTTATTGGAAATGGAACTCTATAACTAGAGTTCTCTAAGACTTTATCCTTGGTTTACTTTTTTAAAAATAATTACTTTATTGTTTTGAAAAAATTAGACACACTTATAAACATTCAAACAATAAGAATAAAAAGAAGCAAAAAATGTTCATAACCAGTTAAAAATCAAAACCTTTAATATTATCATATAACCATCTCTTCAGCTCTCCCAACTGAGCTATTTCAGCTGATTATAACCATCTCTTAATAGTTATATAGAAAGAAGCCTAGATAAATAAATCATATAAAAATATTATAAAACATATTTTGACAAAAATATTTACATTGTGTTTATCTGGAACAAACAAAATGAAAAAAAAACAGGTAAAAGCAAATGAGCTATTACATTTTAGATAAATGTTTTATCTGTTTTAAGAGATATTAATTTTTAAAAGTTTTCTGTAGTGCTAAAAAGAAAGTTTACAAAAATATTGAAAATGGAATTACTCTTTTTTTAAAGTATATATTTTAATGTTAGGGCCATTTAAAATTAACATTTTGCCATTCAAGATGAAAAAAAACCCAACATTTTTCCAAAACATTTCTTTTTGTTTTCTCTACATCTTGAGTTTTGTTCATTAAATTATCTTTTAAGACATTTTATCAAGGTCTATAACTTTATATATTACAACAATCATTTTCTCAGTTTTAAAGTCTTATTTCTGTATATATTGAATTTGGTAATCACATTTTTTAAAATCTTGACTTTTCTATTTATGAGTTCTTTATTTTAATGTATTTGTTGGCTAGCCAGGTATAATTGAAAGTATTTTTTCAAGAAGGAATCAAAATAGCAATATTTATAAGAGCCTAGATATTTGAGAACATGTTTCAACTGTCTTTATATACAAGGGATAAATTGGCTAGGTATAATTTTATTGAGTAGCACCTTTTTTCCTCCAGAACTTTCTAGATGCTATTCATTTTTAGACAAGGCAGTGCTATGGAAATGTGTTATGGAGAGCTGTCTGATTTCCCCTTCCTCTCCTATGTTACTCCCTGCTTTGTATATGACTTGCTTTTGCTAAGTGACACCTGAAGATTTACTTTTTAAACTTCACATTCAAAAATTTAAGTAGACTATATCTTGCTATAATTTGTTCTAAATCACATTTTACTGCAATACCTATGCATTTGTTATTTGTCAATTAAATCTTTCCATTCCAATAATTTTTTGTATATATTTTTACATATTTATTCAATTTTTATACTCTAATTCAATGATATCAGTTGTCTTTATGTTAGATTATTTTTTGTCTGGCCTTTATATCTATTTTCTTATAATTTTTAATCTTTATCTTTTTCTTATGTATTCAGTTTCTTATGTATTCAAGACATTCCTTCACCAGCAATTCAATTTTTAGACATGTATATTCTTTCTTTTGTTCTTTCTGATATTTTTATTAAATCTGCAATGAGATTTTTGGTCTCAATTTAATGTCTCAATTCTTCAACTTCCTGTTTTATTTCCTTTGGATGTTGTATTATCTCTTTTGTGAGCTTGTATTTTTTTAAATTCAGAGTTTTGGTAAGTTGTTTTCTTCCTTCAATTGTGTTGTTTTCTCCAGATTGGATTTTAAATCTGCATATTGTTAAATGTATACAGTTCACTCCACCTATTAGTGTTTCCTAGTCTTTGAAGGGTCACCCAGGGTTTCAATTTGTTGTCTGACTTCAGCAGAAAGTCTTAGATCTTACCAGGTCTAGCAGTTATCTTTTTTTTTTTTCTTTGCTGACAACCATTCCTACTGCTCTTTATTCCTTTCTGCAGATCCATATTTCCACCTGATATTATTTTCTTTTTTTTTTGAGACAGAGTCTCGCTTTGTTGTCTAGGCTAGAGTGAGTCCCGTGGTGTCAGCCTAGCTCACAGCAACCTCAAACTCCTGGGCTTAAGCAATCCTCCTGCCTCAGCCTCCCAAGTAGCTGGGACTACAGGCATGCGCCACCATGCCCAGCTAATTTTTTCTATATATATTAGTTGGCCAATTAATTTCTTTCTATTTATAGTAGAAACGGGGTCTCGCTCTTGCTCAGGCTGGTTTTGAACTCCTGACCTCGAGCAATCTGTCTGCCTTGGCCTCCCAGAGTGCTAGGATTATAGGCGTGAGCCACTGCGCCCAGCTTCACCTGATATTATTTTCTTTCTACCTGAAGGACTTCCTTTAATTCCTTATAGTACACATCTGCTGGAGATGAATTCTTTCAGCTTTTGATCAACTGAAAAAAAAAATCTATTTTGTCTTCATTTTTGAAAGGTATTTTCACTAAGTATAGAATTCTGCATTGACAGTTTTTTGTTTGTTTTGTTTTGTTTTTAGTAGTTTAAAAATTTACTCTACTGTCTTCTGGTTTGAATTGTTTCTGATGAGAACTCTGCTGTCATTCTTATTTTTGTTTGACTATACATAATGTGTTCTTTTTATTCTCTCTTGATGGGACCAAGAACTACTCCTGGGCCTTTATGAGCTTTGGAGATTGTTTCCCCTAATCCTTTTGGGTGGTTTGTTCCTTGAACTTGGGTAGTTTTCTCACATGCTTGTGTTGATTAGTACTTAGCCAAAGACTCAGAGGGAGACCCTCTACAGATCTTCAGAGCTCCCCTTATCTTTGAGCAGATTTCTCTATGGCATTTGTCTTATAAATTCTAGCTTTCTTGGCCTCCCTGGACTCTGGAGTCTGTCTCCTAGGAAAACTACTGGATTCCACTCCCCATTTCTGTTTTGTAGCTTGGAAGCTCTCTCTAGGCACTAAGCTGGGGTAATCATAGGACTCACTTCATTTGTTTGCCCTCTTTCAGAGATGACATTGTCTTATGCCCAATATCTGGAAACTATTTTTTCATTTTTTTTTTTTAGTATTTAGTTCTATATGAAAGGATAAATCTGGTCCCTCTGGCTTACTTTTATTGAACATGTTTTCCATGAATTAAATCCCAAATCTATATGAATAGTAACCTCTCTCCATGTACCAGGAATGTATTTATTTCCTGCTACCAGTTTTCTTCTGGCTATTTTTACAAGGATCTTAAAAGTTAAGTGTGTCCTTCAAAAACTAATTGCCTTTTCTCTCAAATTAGTTGTACCTCCTCTAGACCTCCCACATGAACACCTTAAGCCTCTACCACACTAAATTTCTCTTTACTAAAATTATAATTCGTAGTGTAATGGGTCTTTAATATAATCCTACATAATCTTTGTCAAGAGCTCAGCTGAACTAGAGAGAGCTGAGCTGTAAGGTGTGTTAGTAGCTGATTTAAGACAAGCCAAATGAAAGTTACAGTTGTTATTAATCACTTACTGAGATAGTATAAGCAAGAGGCTAAAGTGGGGAAAGTGCCAACTCCCCATGTTCTGTTTTCCCCCCATTGGTCAAGTGGATTAGCACAGATTTGAAGGTTATCTTACAGCCAGTGGAACCCAAAACAAAAGGCTCCAGACCTTTTATGGACCTGAGGCTTGAGGGTAGAGGAGAAGGAGGAGGGCCAGGAGATGGAAAGTATAGAGTCAAAGTGAGTCAGAATGAGGGCAAATGTCTTCAAATTTACTGTTCTCTCCTCATCCCCTAAGGAGGTTTCTGCAGAGACACCTAAATAAGCCTCAGCCAAAGAGTCCCCAGTAAAAATGCCTCCAAATAAAGGCATCTAGGCTAAGGATACAGATAAGTGTAGGAGGGTGATTCTCCAGGAAGACTTGAGCCCTTGATCAAGAGAACCTGGGTCCTTGACTGTAACTCCCTTCAGAGACTGCAATCCACTGACTGTGCACCAAGTCTGGTTGGGGAGGGCAGTTTTTTTCATAAGGCATGCCAGGTAAAGCCTTTATAATTGCCCAGGAGTTAGAATCCTCAGTCTTTACAAGTGCATGAGTATGTTCGTAAAACCACTGCTTGTGGTGTTCTTCATTGAAAGCTGAGGGCTTGTGTCTCAGTCAAAGGATGCAAGAAGTAAGCAAATGGGAAAACTCATTAACAAACAATAGCAAACATTTATTTATTGCATATGGGTCTGTGAGTTGGCTGAAGCAGTTTGTATTGCTGCAGGTTTTCT